TGAAGGACTGGTAGTAGAATTTTCCCACAATGATATGAGTAGAGCTGACGTTTCCATTGCATTTCACAAAAGTTGTTCTCATTTAGGCACCAGTTGACTGCAATTTCGACCTCGCATCGGTCTTATCCGCACCCCCAGCAGGAGTCGAACCATGACAATGCAGAATGGGATCTTGACACACTAACCACTCAAAGAATTTCAAGGAAGGCCAGGCATTTTGCAATATCATATTTTTTTGGTGGGATTGTCGATGAAGCAAACGTATATTAGCTATAACAATCGACTACGTTACTTATTTTCATATTTGAGTAGAGTTTCGATACTACCAGAAGATCAGAAATATGAGAGATATTCACCCTATTTCGTTATGTGAAATTCAATAGAAGCGTCAGCTCTACTCACATCATTGTGGAAAAATTCTACTTCCAGCTCTTCATCACCTTAAACGAAATGGGTCAAATACTCCCTGGACCCACAGATACTCTTGGGTACCTGACGCTGTCTCGAATCCTGTTGATGGTGTTGATGAGATACAGATGAGGTTTAGACTGCATTCCAATCCAGCCTAGTTGCGATAGTTTTTTTGAGGCAAAGCTGCGTAAACTCCAATTGTATCGTGGAATCTTCTCATGTTTTCGGAGTAAAAACTTCACTTAACTGGTCTAGAATGACCAGGTTTCTATTCAAGCAACCGATAAGTCAACAACATCAGATGACTGACGTTGATAATGTGTTTACTTGACATAATTTAACCGGTTTCTTGGTACTAGAATTTGTCCTTATGGCAAAACGAGACAACATTTACATATTCAACCTACTTTGCCAGCCAATTGCCCTTGGTCAGCATCTCCCTGACATGAGTAGTGGACAGTACTGGGCTGTAGCCCAAGAACGTCTATTCTGCCTTTGGTAGAGGATCTCTTTCGCCGGTATCCTCTGGACGCTTGAGGCAGTACCAAACCTTTTTCCTCATCCTTCCCGACCAGTCGACCTGCTCTGATATGGGCCCAAGTTTCCAGTCGCTGGGCTATATTGGACAGCCAGCCGCCCCTTCTCGAAGCTGGAGCTGTTGCAGCAGTTCTGGACGCCGCGGCCAGACCTGCGACAGGACTGGAATTGCTTCTGCCTCTGGAGGCACCGGCTGGCGTACTGTCGGCTGCGGCTTCCTGGACCCCTGTCTCAGCTTCATCCGCTTCATCTCTCTCGGCGCCAAACGACGAAATCGTTGAGTTGGCCGGTAATATGGTCGCTTCTTCATCGGACCTACCGTCTTTTTCTAGCGACGCCGATTCCACTTGCTCTTCCAGTTCTTCTTCATTATTATTGCTGGCCGGAACAACGCTGGTAGAAACCTCCACTCCGGTGGCCATCTCGTCTCGGGCCACGGACGATAGTCGCCAGGGGAAGCCGGCTTGCCAGCCAGAAGAGGCAACAAACGCCAGAACTAGGCAAGCCAGAGCCCCAGCTCCGGGCATGTGAACACGAACACTGCCGACGAGGCCGGTAATTGCCACGGAGATCAAGATTAGTGAACGCAACACGTGGCAGTGCTCCTGGAATAGGGAGCGGGAAAAAGAGAGTCATGCATGCAAGCAGGGTTCAACGTACTATGCAAGATTGCATCAAACTATCGTTGTTCGCGTCTCTTGCATCAACTTTACTCGTCTACATGATTAGAGGACAAGAAGAACGTAACCAATCAAATCGTGAAATGCCTCATTGAGATCATTAAGTGAGGTTTAAGAAGTGAGTATACCTTCAGCAGATCCCGGTTCTTGGTTTAATGCTTTCAGATAATTGTTCGTAAATAATAATTCCTCGCTATGATCAGTGTTAATGTGTCTGTGACAAGCACAGTTAACCTAAAATTAAATAGAATTTATATAAATATATGGTAGGATTTCCTTCTCTTCGAAGTTAATTCGTTTTTATTCCCATAACGGCAGTTCACTTTACATTTCTAGGAATTTGATACTAGGCTCAAAAGTCTAAACAACAGAACAAACTTCAAGAAGAAGAATAATAAGAAGAAGAGTGACAACATATAACACGTTTAACTTGCCTTTCTCTTTCGGTAGCAGTGGTTATCAGAGAAAGCGTTTTAAGCTTATCTGCAAATGATTAGTGTCTGAAATACCGCCCCTCTTGTAGAAGAAAGTATAGAAAACCTCAGAAACTACTTCCTATCATTCTATTGATTGCTGACAATCGCGATATTTCTTGAAATGTGTTAGTTAACCATAGACAAAGATGAAGTGATTCTACCTCGACTCGCAAAGCTTGCTGTCTATCGTACTCAAACAACTCCTGATAAACTCCTTTTTTTCTATTATTAAGCTGATTGATAACATCTTTATTTATAACATAATCCGTGTCAGACATCACAATCTGTCTTTTTGCACAGAGCCAAAAAATTGCTCTTGACTATGAAGCCCTGTTAAATATTGTACACATATTTTGGGATAATTAAGCAGCAATTAACACATCTCACAATTGATATTTTACGAAAACAATTTATTTCTTAAAATTTTTAAGCTGATAATTCTTTGGTAGCGATAAGGTGGAAAATAGTGACAATAAAACTATCAGCACGTTATAATTGGCAATTTTATCCATAAGTAATGAACTCCCTTTCTCTTTGGTAATACACACTTTCTTCAGTTAGCTGACTAGAAATATCATATTGGAGTGATGTAACTATTAGGTTAAAGCTAACCTAACGATGCAAGTAAGGGAGTTATGACCATTAGTCAAACATAGACATGATTTTGATAATTGCTTCTAGCAAAAACGAATCATAAACTGATTGCTTCGAGGTCGTACCTGCAGAGTCAAGCTATTAAGTCAACTCTCTGACGCGCTATTATAAACATGCAGGAATTCTGCTGACCTCAAATTGACCGTCGCCAGACTTCTTTTGCCTCAAAAGTTAAAATAAATTTTCTTACTCCGGGCTATTTCTCAATAAATTAAATTATTAAAAAATGAAAATCTATGATACTTTACCTAATCTTTCATTCGGTAATCTGCTAAGCGTATTATAGCAAACATTGATAAAGCAAGCAACCCTCGAAATCTTCTAGAAGAAATATTTGAATAAAAATTTATTTGTAAACCTTTTTCATAAGTTAGCCTTATGAGGAACTCTCGCATTTTAAAGCCCTTAGGCAGAATTTCTGTTTTATTGTATACGTTTTACTCTAACTATTTTTTAGAAAGATAACTGAGGACAAAGTTAATAAATCAGAACTTATTTAGCTTAGCTCATTTAGATCATTTTTCGTATTTCACTCAGTCTTGGGCAAGAAAGGAGGCAGTAGAAAAGGGAGATGGGATTCTGCGAAGTACCAACCGATGGGGATAAGATATTTTAAAATAAAAAATATGCTGATTCAAATCGTTTTTACCTTTATACATATTTTCCTAATTTATTGTCAGAATGCAAGACTAAGCCACTTAAGATCTTCAACAGTTCAAAATATTGTACTCTTTATTAAGCTTAGAGATATGTCTATCTTCCCAACAAAACACTGAGTGAGTAACACTAACTTGTTCAAAATATAATGATACTAGTTTTATCACAGTCGGGTGTACAAGCAACTTTGCATTAATGACAGATCTTAGCTGAAGTACTCTTGCATAGTTTTGAAGGGCAAGTGTATCCTATGTCCAATTTTCCAGGGTATCGCATCGCTCTTTACAAAAAATAGATGGCCCTGGGCTTTGGGAAGATTTCTGCTCAAAGTGAGGCTGAAAATACAGTTCATTTAAGATATAAAATATTTTTTTATAAATGAAAAATAAAACCCCATTGACAAGAATCAACCTCTTCGAAATTTATTACTCATCACTTAAGAGGCTAGACGACTAATAAGGCCTTATCGCCATATTTTAATATGTGCAGAATGCTAACAAGACCTTTCTACCTGTGAATGTTAATAAATTTTATCCAGACGAGTTGGAAGTCATATTTGCACATGTCTAATTAATGCAGCTATCAAGAATTATCTAACCAAAGAACATCTAGAAAATAGGGCATCAAAAAGATTATGGCATATCATTAATGCAATACATGTTAAGTTAAATATATAATTTTACATATATTTGTGCAAAGTATGTTGCGAAATTATCAATAATTCTAAATAAAAAAAACAAATAAGTGATCTCTGCATCTTCTTGCATCAGGTGCCAGCTTAACTATTTTACTCAACCCGTCTCTTTCGCATGCGCAGCATGTTTAAATAGTTTCAGGAATCCTATCAATTCGTCTTTTTGCCATCATTCTGTTTATATTAGTCGAAAAAGAGTCATGATAGAAAATTATTAAAAAGCTTGGCCTTTATCCATTTTTTCCTCTTTCAAAGTTACCATGCTAGCATACCATAGCTTGACAAGTTAAGTTACTGTCCTGATTTGCTGCATGTTGATAAAAATATATTTGTATGTATTTCATTTTTATTCATTCTATGGATTCATAACTTATTTGCGTACCATCCAACTATCCTTTAGAGCGAAGTATCTATAGCCATAAACTTGAAACTTTTGTACTTATTTTTCTTGTTTTCGCTAATATTGTATTTTTGCATTTTTGCTTAAGCAAATCACAATCCTAGTTCAGCATTAGACAAGGCTGTGCGACTGAGACATCGA